CTCTCTCTCTCTCTCTCTCTCTCTCTCTCTCTCTCTCTCTCTCTCTCTCTCTCTCTCTCTCTCTCTCTCTCTCTCTTTGTGTGTGTGTGTGTGTATATGTGTAATGCTGCTTTCCTTGGTTTCCTCTTTTTTTCCTACCATTTTTTTTCACAAAACCGAACCTTATGGCCCTGGTTTCATTCTATTCTGGGGAGCAACAGTCTGATTCCTTTTCCACTGGCAAGTACCCTAATGTTATGTACCAGATCGAGCGTCAGTCAACAACCAACTCACACGTTCTCATATACACATGCAGTTGTAGAGTAGACTCGGAGAAGGCAAATCGCGCACAAAATCGGTAAGAGCATACACACAGTGGAAGCTCAAAATACAGAGAGAGTTGAAAAACGAATTTCAATTCTCCAATCCCCCGTCCTCCTCCAATTAATTCCAGGTACTTGTTCCAAGAATCACAACCACGTTTACAACAACCCTGGGCAGATAGACAAAATTGTTCGACGAAACTGCACGAGTCTTCTTCTTCCTCCTCACCACCACCAAACCCCGGCTATGGCTGCCTTAGCAGTCGTGATCCCAAAGAGTAACCCCAGTGTCAGCCTGAACCAAGAGCCCCGAACAAGTAGCGCCCGATCAGGGCCTGCAAAAGAGTACAGCCTCGGCAATCTCTGATGAAGACGAAGGTGAGCCAATCACTTCGAAGAATGAAACCCTTGTGAGGAGGGCATGAAGTAAGCCGCTGTCACACAGTGATGGCAGCAACTCTGTGCCCCTACAACACAGCAGGGGGAATCGCCTGTAACTGCCTGCAAATGCAGCGCGTCCCCAACCTGGTCACAGCGCCAGCTATGGCTGATCTCCCAGGAAGGAGCAGCCGAAATAATGCAGCAGCTTTATCCTCCCGATCCAGCACCGTTTCCCCAACCATTTCGATAGCAAAAGATCCGGTCCCTCACGCTGGTTCCCTTCTTCACGAACGGGCAGCCAGCCCAACGAATTGCAGATCTACCAGAAACATCTACCAGCTCCTAGTGGTCCTAGACCTACAGCTAAGTGCCTACCTAACAATCAACAGGTCACGGGGTCAAGCCCCGCAACAGCCAAAACGAACAAAACAACACAAACAAGGCAAACAGCGGACACACAGCACACCAAAGGTCTCAGGATCGAGGCCCAGGAACCGCAAAACAGGAAGTTAGTATACAACTCGCGGAGAAGCACTGCAATTCATTGCACCTAATATACAACAAAACTCCCTTGATTCTTCCTGTCCTTACAGCCAGAGGTATCATCAACGGCATTGATTACTGCGAAGAGGAGGATTGACTGTTGGGTATGCCCATGGGAGGATTGACTGTTGGGTACGCCCATCAGCCCTGACCCTATTTAAAGCTACCCCTCCCAAGAAACACACAGAAAACAATGCTGACCCTTTCCTGTCAGCCTATAAAGGCTGTCAGAAAACACCTGTTGAGGATACAACTGGCCTCCTGAGACTGCTTACTATTTTGGAAGGTACGAGACATCCGAACCACTCAAGTCCCTTGTTAGTATTATGGAGACCCCATGACGAAGCTTGAAATCCCAGCCACACTTCTGAGTACTTCCACTGAAGTCCACCCCTGGCTGTTGACCTTCTGCCACCATTGGTTCTTTGATCTTCAATTGTGTCTTCTTTCCCCCCCTCCCAGGATGCTTTTCATGAATTTATCCCGAAATTATTGTCCCTTATCCTGATTCCTTCTTATCTTCTTCTGCGCCACTCTGCTTTATATTTTGTCTCCAGTAGCCACCTGAATCCATCCTCCACCTTATCACATGGACATACTCCTCAGATCAATAGCTTCCTGGCACCTTCTTTTCCAGATCGTCCACAGACTATACTGCCGTATCTTTTGCAAGCAATTCTTCTCGAAGAGGGACCAGTCCTTTGGTAATCAAAAGCATGGTCAGGAGAGCGAGGGGGGTCATCGGAAAGGACCTACGGAAACCACTTGAAAAACTTATCTCGTCTTGAAGAGCCATTGAAATGTGTTCTTTCAACTTCTTTGATTATTAGTAAAGATTTCTTCCTCTTCTCCACTTCTCTTCTTCCTTTGCCTTATTTCTGGATACTTGCTGTTGGGTTTTGAGACTACGTTATCTGTGATGAGGCTAGAAACATTATGCTGCTGTTGAAAGCTTCTTACGAGTTTGGGTTCATTGCATTTACTTATAGTTTGTCGGAAACAACTTTCATTTCTTTCAATTCAGACAAGGTACTAATGGAGCATTCTGTTCTGGTTTAAAAAAATTATTCCCATCTGGACAGGGTGCTAGTGCAGAAGCCTCGGGACTTCTCCACGCTTAGCAATCGCGGATATGTGCACAGGAAGATTGGTAATTACCAGCAAGCAATTGAGGTAAGTGCCAAACAATACTGCCAACCACAAGCAGCCTACAGGACGTGGTTGTAGTTGTGTTGGAAGTGGAATCATGAACTCTGTATGAGGAGTTGCATTGAATTATTGTCAGCATCATTGTTGTTGCTGGACCATTATGGACGCTGTCCCTCAGCAACTGCACTCCCAGAGAGGGGGGGGGGGGGAGAGAGAGAGAGAGAGAGAGAGAGAGAGAGAGAGAGAGAGAGAGAG